AGGCACGGCCTCGTTCCTCATTGCAGTTTCTTATTCTGGATCTAGGGTTATTATAGTGATTCCAATACTAGAAATATCTATAAAACATCTATAATATATTTAAATAAGTGTAATATATATATATATATATATATATATATATATATATATATATATATATATATATATATGTATATAACAATTAATTTGCTAGGAGTATCTATTGTGTATAAACCTTTAGGAGTGACATAATCATAATTAACATTCGACGACCATGGATTGCTGAACGTGAAGTCACCCTTAACGACCTGATCCCCCATAATAAGGAAGCTATAATGTGATTTACAATTTACAGCCCATTTACATAATTGGACGAAATCATTAGTGTCTCTTTGAAAAAACGCTCTTCTAGTGAAACTGATACTTCCAGAGAACTTTCCAGAGAAACATCCATCGTATAACAACGAAAAATGTAAAGCTTTTCAGCTGAATAGCTGGACTATTAATTGTCTAAAAATATTAATTTTCATTGGAACAACATTGCTATGATAATTAAGGATTGAGTTTCACAAAAACCCATCTTCAATTGTGACAAAACCAGTTGTTCTGGCCTAAAAATTAAACTAATAAACTAACTTTGAAAAAATTCTGTGGGACCAATCTGCTGAACTAATGGAGTTATGAGGTAAAAAATATAACAAAATACAACCGAATTGAAAACTTCCTTCTTTTTAAAAGTCGGTTGAAAACATGCTAATTCCTTGCAGATTATGAATAAGTTATATTCTAATAACACTATTAATTAAATCAGCTAATTATACCTATATATTTTGTAGAATAACTTTTGATTTTTCTGTTATTATTTTATATAACTAAATAACGAAATAAAATTATAACACAGTAGGCGAATTTAATGCTAGCAGTAGTTTCTTCCAGTTTTTTACTGTAGAGTGATATGATTTTAGTATAATTGCCATAAATTTTACGTTCTATTTAACGTCAAAAATCTCTTAGTACGAGTTCACCTCAATTCTTTATTGAAAAGCATTTTCTTACTTCAATCAAATTAATCAAATTCAATCAAAGATTATGATGATTTCCAAAACAAACTTAACCTTTTAATAAATTTATTTAAGACAGCCACAGTATAGAAACAATAAGCTTGGCAATTTCCATGCTGATAAACTGTAGTTTTTTTATTCTTTTTTAGATTAGTATGTACAAAAAAATTTACTATTATAAGTAATCTATTAATCTATTAATTGTTCTTGTGAATCAATCCTTTTGAATATTTTCGCCATACTTTCACAAGTCACAGATATGTCGTGGAGATAAAAGAATTGTAATTACAAATCAAAAACGTCTCTAAGTCGACAAACAACTGTCACGAACTGACACCAATCAGATACACTTTTCTTGCAATACGGTTTTAGATATGACTTAGAAATATCCTCTTAATTAATGTATAGATCTTACTGTACGAGTTAAAGGTAAATTTAATATTTATCGTAAACTACCGGCCCAAATGGTAAAAATGAGACCAAATCTTCCCTCTCGCTAACTTATTTAAATAAAGATTTTTAACCCAAATTTTTCATTTTCCATACAATTTTTATATATTTCCATTCACATAAGTCTAGTTTTGACAATTAGAAACGTAACAAAAAGAAGCATTAGCCAAATAGTGTGCGGGCGTCCTGAAATAATGCGCTTATATTTATTCTATAATTGACTTTTATTTGAAAAGATTAATGTCATATTACACTTAAATATATAAAAAAAGTATTATTTAAACCGGCATTATCTGTTTATATACTATACGTTGACCCGTAGAGAATGCCTATAGCATTAATTTCTCCTTTTTTACTGTTTTTTATTGGTCAATAAAGATTAAATAAATAAGTAAATTAATTTTATAATAAAAATTACGCGCATGGATCATTTTAGTTATAAATTACTATAATCTATGTAACCAAACTACCACCATATTATAAATTATACCCCATTTGAATCACAGTTCCGTAGTAATTAATAATAATCATTCAAGGCTTTGAGCGTAGTAGTAATTAAACAGAATAGAAAGGACAAGGTTACTTCGCTTGAAATTACTCCTTAGTTTACAGTAATTAAAATCGTATGAATGCATCTTTATCTTACTCGCGTTGCTGACATCATGCAGTATTACTTGCATGGGAACTATGTATAACATATTTCACAAGTCCGTATAGTCCCTGCATAGAATAGGCCACTCCTTCCTTTCCTGTGGGTGTCGTAAGAGCCGACTAAAGGAACTTAATACTCGTAGTAAAGGAATGTCGTCGTCAAAAGCGTCAGAAGCGTCGCTCTTAAAACATCTTTAAAAGCCTAATAGCGATTGCCAACCCGCTTGCCAAGGTAGTCAACTACTGGAATACTCCCCTTATAGGGAGGAAGGCTTACGTTGAGCAGTGGACAGTTAATGGCTGAAATGATATACAAAATAACACCATCCAGTTCCAAACTAAACAGAGCCTTTACTATAAGTACAAGACGACTAATACATACATTTCTTTTTTAATTATAAGTAGAAAACAAAAATATAAAAAATAATTAATAAATAATAAAACACCCAGAAAAACAGCAATACTCATGAACAGTAATGTTTGTATTGTGCGAAGATTGAATCCACGACCATCGGAAGATGAGACAGTATATTACCCAATACATCTCCAATGTCTTAGACTATGATATACCTTTATCATTTTTATAATAGCCTATAGATATACCGAATTCCACTGTTGGGCGATCTTTTAAGGCTCAATTTGTATTTATTTAAATCTTATCGCACCATATTCTTCCTATGTTCCTATAGACCGCAACGCCGATATTCATCGTTTTGTATCCAGAACATGACAGGCTTGGTCTCCCATTTTTCCATTCCTTTTTAAATATTTTTAGCAATTTTTTTACACAACTGTCAAACAAATTTACGACCCAATTAATGAAAAATAAGTAAGATTTACATTCATATAATATATGGGATGTTTGATAAGATTCGCAACGTATCACCACATAGTCCCTACAAACAGTCGTTTTACGTACGCAAATATTTGCTCTATCGAGAAATTAAAGCACGAACCCTCGCCAATAATATTCTCTTGTAACGTTCTGCCTCGAATATCGCATATGTAACGTTTATGGCGAAGGGATTGCTTGTTTATTGAATAATACATATATTATTCTGAGGTAATCTCGAGCTTTACCACAACTCATATATATATATATATATATATATATATATCTTTATTGCACAAAAAACACACAGTAACAACAATAAGTTAATAACAATGTTAGCAAAGGCGAACTTATCTCTAAAAGAGATCTCTTCCAGTCAACCTAACGCAGTGGCATAGGAAGTAGTGAGTGGGCAGTAGTAGTGCAAGACAGAAATTAAAATAAATATTTACATAAATTATAAATAATTATATATATATACACACATGCATTCACATATATACATACATACACATACACATATATATACATATACACATACACATACATATACACACATACATACACACGTTAAATACAACATATAAATATCAAATACAAGAGAACACAATGATGACAGTCTTCTAATCATTTTTATATTTAAATTAAATTGGAAAGATAAAATGATTTTAATCTTTTTTTGAAGGAACTGCTAGACGGGCTATTCTGAATATTCACGGGAAGTTTATTCCACAGCTGTACAGCACGATATGCAAATGAGTTACCCATAAAATGGGTTTTACAGCAGGAAGCTTCAGTACCCTTGGTTCAGACAAAGACGTCTAGGTTGGAAGGAGGAGGTAATAATTGGAACAACGAAGGTAGGAAGGAGAATTGGGATTATTAAGGATATTATATAGGACCGCTAGGACATGTGTCTCATGACGATGTCTAATTGGGAGCCACTTTAAACGAGTGCGGTATTCCGAGACATGATCATATTTTCGTAAGCTGAAAATAAACCTTAAAATTTTGCTCAAGCTTATTTAGCAGCTCCTCGGTCACATCTAAGAAACAGACATCGGCATAATCCAGAATGGGAAGAAGGTCAAAGGTCATGAGTCAAGACGACAAAAAAATAAACAGAATTAGTTGTAGGATTGCACGTCAAAACTAAAACTTGTTTTTTGCACAAATTTTTAAACGTTTCTAACTTTTGGTTATTAAGAAAAATTTGTTCAAAAAGATTTTTTTTACTTGAGAAAACCTTGACGTAACCACGCTCATTCCATAACCTGAGCGTTGATGGGAACCAAGATCTCTGAAACCGAGAGTGAGCTCCCTATCAATTGCAAGTTAAAGAATAATAGAAAGTAGCCATGAGCATCATGTTAAACAATTCGTCTGAGCACAATCCATTGTACAAGCGGTAATCCATGCAAAGTTAAGCGAAATCTCTCCTAAGTCTAAAGGATTCGACGAGTAATAAGTAACTTTATAAAATTCCCGTTGTGCACCTGCATAGACAGTACCCAACATACCTAAAGAAGTTTTCTCTTTAAAAACTTTGTCAATATAAATTTTCGGTGATATAATTAATGAACCAAATTATCTCGATGAAAGACTAGGAAGTCGCCCTTCCCACGTTGGATTCTAGTGTACTTGCCGAAACGTCTAATATTATATTCAATACAAAGCTAACAATTAACAAACAGCATGACATATTTATTTGACCTGGCGTGACCTGCACTTATTGATTGGCCGGAATAAAAACTAATCAAAGTATACCTTTGTCTAAAACCTGTGTGTATGACAAATTTCATGATAAATAATTGAGCTGTTTAGGTGCAACAAACCCATTCTTTATAACACCAGTAACAATATGATAGATTATTTTATTATTATAATTTCAATATATTATCTTACCATATTTAAACAGAATTTCTAGCTACAAATTCCCAGGTAACTTTGAGAGAAACAAGATAATAATGTTACCTAATCTATCTACTGGATATTTATTCAAACGTAAAGGGCAAAATAAATACAAATTAGATGTCAACATTCAGTTTATTAGACGTATATCTATTACAGTATTGGAATTCCATTGTAACATATAATATACTCTTTTTATATCTATTTTCACAGGAAATATATATTTTGTCACTTGAGCATTTAACGCCCAATTTCAACGTTTCTAAATATTTACAAGCATTACAACAAGCTTATAATATAAATATACATCTAACAATATATATACAATTTGTTCACACAACATTCTGACAAATTACATGAATAATATTTACAGATACCTTGAAAGTAAACAAGTATAATGTCAAAAAAGGACTTTTGAATTCAGCGTTTATACATATGTATTCTCTCGCCATACGAATATAGCATTTATGATGATTAGTAGTATATTTTTTATAATTATAATTAAATCAAGTTCATTATATAATTTAGTATGTAGTATATACATTTTTAATTTTCAACGTTACTGTATATGTATATCACATTTACTAGCTATTGTTGACATTATTGAAAACAACATAATTTATTATTGAAAAGTGGATAGACACTTAATACGTATTGTAATAATGTGATATACCATAATATGTATCGATTCAATTTCCAGCAGTTACAAGTAAGTTCATGTAATGAAAAATTTGTACAAATAAAATTTTGCCTAATAATAAATAAAGGCTATATTTTATGGCCAATTGAATATTGTTCTATGAAATCATAATTTTATAAGTGCTTTTGAAAAGAAATAGCTTCTTAATTCTCCTTTATTTTATTTTAATAATTTTAAGAATTCTTTATGCAATCGAAGGATTTACTCCCGTGTTTGTTTCTTATTATTTTCATCATGATTAAAGCAAATGACTGTTTTTGTGAAACAATGTTATGTCTATATTACCCATGTTTCTTTTATTGTGCATAATCAGAGACTTAGCAAAATAAAAAAAAACACATGTCATTTCTGTAAAGGTTAATGTTATGTTATAAAATAAACTTATTATTTTACAACTACTTTAGGCGCAAAGGAATTTGTATTAAACGTACACAGCTGGCTCTGTGGTGTAAGCCAGGCGTTAGAAATGCCCGTATTTCGCCTCGGTTTTGCGGTCTCATCTCTGATATTCCGAGCACTTACTCCTCAGGAATTTCATTCAGAATACAATATTTGCTAAGGCTACAGAGACTGTCAGTTCAGCATTTAATAAACAGAAAAAATATTATGACAGGGACTTTGCAAAGTTTTGAATGCGGCTTGTGTAAAATTAATAAAACAACATATTTTGTAAAACTTCACAACTTCGTAACAAATCACGTATGAGACATAATATGGATACAAGTCGTGATGGTATTTTAAAACCATATTATTAATAATATAATAAATGTAGTGGAATATATAAACACACATACTTAGTTCAATTAAAAAATTTGCATTCAGTGATAAAAAATGTTATTTGTATTAATAAATTATTTTTAACTAACATTATGACTATGATGGAAGATACCGAATCCACAATATATGTTATATCTGTATTTAAAATTTTTATTTTATCACGTATTAAAAATATATATAATAATCTAAACAAATAGTAATAGTAAGTCTTGTTGTAGTAAGTTTAAATTATATTCTGCAAGCTAAAAATATTGTATTACACTACATTAAAGAAGGTTTAATAATTATATTATAAGAATTATTAATGTTAAAACTTGTATAGACAATTAAATATTATCTAACAAGTAAAAACATAAATAATAAAACCATCAAAAGACACAAATATAAACACACGAATTTCAATTAGAACGAAACATCATTCCTGAGAAATTCGTCAAATTGAATGGAAAACCACATAATCGCTAGAAACAGGAACTGACAAGGCATGAGCGTTGAGTAATGGGAAGTAAGAAAGTTTAATCACAGGCAAATCTTTTGTAAAATGCCTTTCTGAATTTAAAAAGAACAGAGTTCCGCCACGAGTTCCAATCTGAATTTGATTCAAAATATGTAATAAATGTAATAGTCACAAGTCTGTCACAGCAGTGTACTTGTAAAGAGCGACGCGTCTTCAGAATGAGTGTAGACTTGCATCAGTGTTAACCACGTCACAACAGCTCCATTGTAAAATGAGGCGACGCATCGTTATTACGACTCTAAACTCACGGCCGTGTCCATCCTGTCACAGCAGTATTCTTTAAAAACAGCGACGTATCGTTACAATAAATGTAAACTCGCGTCTGTGTTAACCGCGCCACAACAGCGCTATTGTAAAATGAACGATGCATCGTTATTACGAGTCTAAACTCACACCCGTGTCAACCCTGTCACAATAGTGTTCTTTTAAAAAGAGTGACGTATCGTTAAAATAAGTATAAACTCGCGTCTGTGTTAACAGCGTCACAACAGCGCTATTGTAAAATGAACGATGCGTCGTTATTACGAGTCTAAACTCACGTCCGTGTCAACCCTGTTACAACAGTATTCTTTTAAAAAAAGCGACGTATGGTTAGAATAAGTGTAAACTCGCGTCTGTATTAACCGCGTCACAACAGCGCTATTGTAAAATGAAGGACGCATCGTTATTACGAGTCTAAACTCACGTCCGTGTCAACCCTGTCACAGCAGCGTTCTTTTAAAAAGAGCGACGCATTGTTATTACGAGTTTAAACTCGCGTCAGTGTCAAGCCTGTCACAGCAGTGTTCTTGTAAAAAGAGCGACGCGTCGTCAGAGCGAGTGTAGACTCGCGTCAGTGTCGCTCTCCGCGCCTCCAAGCAGAAGCGTGGACTCGCAAGGTACCGACTGTCGGGAAAGCGAGTCTCGCTTTCGAGACTCAGAGGGCGGGAGTTGGGCCGGCGGTAGTAGTCACAGTTCGATGGCGGCAGCACCTTTCCACGTAACTCCGGCGCGGAGTAGGTGATACAGCCTTAGTACGCACCATATACATAAACACTGTAAAAGATATTAATATATTAATAAAAGTGTTTATTAGTACTTGATGGAAAATCAAACTCATATTGATACTGTGCTACAAATACGGCTATTCTCTGTATATCACTATGAATATGTATTAAATACATTAAAATAAATCACGTAATAACGTTTGTTTGATATATTAAAATATTTATTGTCTATCAAATAAACAACTACTGTATATTCTGTAATAGTTTACATAAAACAATATCATATGAGAATATTTTCTTTTTTCATATTTGTAGGACATGATTTTTCAGTAGTCGGATTTTACTTTTGTAGAATAACATGCTTATCAAAGCAGCAGATTATTTCTAAACTGTATAAGATTATAATTATAGTATAATTTGTACTGAATTTTTACGGATCTATTTGGATTTGTCGTGTATATATATTTATAATATATGTATACTTACATTCAAAAATATCCTCGGTATTAAAAAAGATATTTCCGCCTTACACATGGCGTCGAATTGCTGAAACAAAAGATAATAAAGACAATTAAAATTTAAATTTCTGTAACTTTAATAAAGTGTTTTTTGCGTCTGTCCTATTTTAGTTTAAAATTAATACGAAGGCAATAATAAAAACCCCTATCAATTGCAAAAATTTATTAAAATTGCTATTTTTTTTTATACTACTTAGAATGGCAAACAAGCTGACGGCCCACTTGATGAAAAGTAGTAACCGTCGCCTATAGACATGAGCAGTACAATATTATGTAGTAGTTTTATGATTGCTCACTGGATGAAACTATTACCTACAGATATGAAAAGTATCATAGACATCGTAGAATCTATGACCAGGTGATCTAGACCCATGGTATCCCTCATACATTTCCATTCTTGAAGTCTAAGATATTATGCTACAATACTCTGAAATTTTATTGGCATATTACGATATGACATCAAACCAAAATATTTCTATGCAAGCCAACTGTTTCGTGAACAACTCTCTTACGACTGAAACATGAGTAGGACAGAGGTACCCTATATATAGGTATGTAAGTAGGTATATTATCCATGCCTATTATCCAAACAGATGACTTTTATAAAAAATATAAATGCTTAAAAACCTAACGTGCCTACCCCTTAATTAAAGAGTTAAAGTTGTAATTGATATTAAAGAAATAACCTTTAAAACGGATTTATTTAATTGGTACAATGAAATATAATACACTTTGACATTATTAACGATCGAAATGTGTACATAAATTTATAATTAGTGTTGACAACGACAAATAGCTGCAATCAATACATTTTACTTCAGAATTACCTAAGTAGTTACGAATGGATACAGAAAGACATTTAATGACTGGCCATTTTCATAGCGGTAAAAATTTACTGACTAAAAATTTTCAATTAAAGATTCCGTACGCGTTTTCTCACTACTACTACTCATGTGTGGATATCGTCCTCTGGCATTAAAAGTTTTTAAACCGCTTTCATTATATACAAACTCGTGTCGCAAAATGTGCGTGGACTTAATAACGGTCGGAGATTGATGGCTAAAATGAAATATCGTGCAACTACTACTAATGATAATAGTAACTAGTCCTCAAATGTTAACAGTCGTACGCATACTAATGGTGACGAAATTAGCCGATTCTCAAATATTGGCAGCTGCACGGATACTAATGGTAACGGAATTATACAAAATAATTGTAATCAACTAACCAGTGATGTAGACTTTTGCAAAATAACACTTAGTGCAGTAAAATAAATTATTTAACTTTAATAACCGGACGGATTTGATAGACATTTATTACAATAACAATTAATTTGTTACTTGTCCTAACTTAAAACATTTTTATGTTAATTCGCGTGGATAATACCACAGGATACAGCAAATTTTATATTAAAAAATTCATATAAACTTTAATTTTTTTCTACCCAACTCTAGAACCCTAAAAATTTGCGAGCGACTATAAATATTTTCTTTTCTCTCATCGTAAAACAGCGGTGGTGATTGCAAGCTTTCACGCAGTATTATGCACATTATTAAAATGTTCTTGCTTTATATATAGTATTTATATATAAGTATATAACTTATGTATTTATTAACTACTAGCTATTATCCACAACTTCGTGGATTATGAAAGCAGAAAACCCAATGAAATAGATGACGTATAAATATGAAACATATACCAGATAAAGTATAAAGTTAGATAATTAGAAGCATATCTATTGAAACGATATCCATTTTAGTGAAATAGACAGGTAGACTGATAGAAAAAACATAGCAATATTAATTGTTTTGGGTTCTATTGCACTTATTATACCTCTCATATATATTTTTTTATATACAAACACAAAAAGAACAAACACAGATTTCATGTGTGCATTTGTAATGCTTGCCGAAGGTATTATCACTTTTAATTATAAATGGTTACAAAATAACAAATATCCCTGCATTCATTAACCAATATCCAAGCCCTTTTAGTACCTCAGAAGATACACCACTGCACCCACACTGATCTCCTGTGAGAGGCATGCGCCTACCACTCATGAGTGAATACTCATTTCACTCACGCTCATTACACGCGTTTCTTAATTTAGACTGCAATACAACGTATCACATCTTGTGACACATCGTCATACAAAATTCGGCATCTAATGACGCAGCGAGATACATAAATGCTCTCATACCGCACTGTCATACAATTAGTGACCATAACATACCACCACACACCTAAGTTTTTCCTCTAATTAATATAATATGATTCACATTTTATGTAACGATTCTCTAATATATAGAAGTAAATACCTATGTAAGTACATTAAGTAAAACACCAAGGATAGAAAATCGTTAATCGATTTTAACGTCGAAGTGTGATATCGCTATTAGGCTATTAACTTGCTATTGCTTCCATAAAAAAGGCCAATGTAGCATGATGGATATGTTTATTACAATATTGACCTAATATGTAAGCACGGTTTTGCGACGTCATCAAAACTTAATTACTGAGGAAAGTGAAAACGAAAATTAAATCAACGTGCAAAATGTTATAATATTGTATAGTAGTAATGTTGTACCTACTTTTTAATATGATATTAAATTATATATAAAAGAGATTTTACGCCGGCTGGTGGAAACCTCTGGTGACCAGAAGGCTGGTCTATACTTTGGTCAAAGCATTTCCATTGCTATTCAGCGTAGAAATGCAGCAAATATCCTAAGCACCGTACCAGCTGGCAGTGATCTCAAAGAATTTTTTTTTATCTTTATTTTTTTTTATTTACTTATTCTTGATATTATAATGATGTTAATAAAAAAATATCTTATATTTGAAGTAGGTTGAAATTGCTTTAGTTTAGTCACATAATTTTATAACATTATGTTATTTCTTAGACTTTATTATCTAATTAATTTATTTATTTATTACCTTACTATTAACGTACTTAATGTAAATAATTACAAATAATATTGTAAGAAATATACAAATTAAATATGAAAAAAAAAATATATTATTCATACAATTATACAGTCATTATATACTAGTTTTTACTCGCGATTTCATCTACATAACCGAAAGATTATAGATTATTAAGACATAAATTGATCAAGATAAAATTAGTAATTTAAGTCCTTTCCCTGTCCAAATACTACGTGTGTAGTAAATTTATGTCAAAATTGACAAAATTCAATTGGTGAAGCCGTTAAAATGCCAAGAACCACAAATAAAGGATTGAAATTAAGTGACTTAAACTACTCCTAAACTATACGAGATATTGTAAATCTTTTTTCTAATCGTAAAATCACAAAAGTGTATACACGACTTCGTAAAATGATAGATAAATCGATTCTTATTATCTATGTTCATATCCCATAGTTTTGTTTTCAAATTAAAGTAGGTACCTATTAAATATTGTTACAGAAAATAAAAGTGTAGATACTTGTTAAAATGGATGATAGTGTTTTGTGTTAAAAGCCTATGGATGTTAAAAAACCTTCATTATGGCCGGTGTTATACACTATTTTTAATATAATATTATATTATGAATTATATATATATTCATACAATTACACAGTCATTATATACATAGTTTTTTTTTATACAACTTAGAATGGCGATTTCATCTATAGACATGTACCATGGACATAACAGAAACATTATAGATTATTAAGACATAATATTGATCAAGATAAAATATAAAATTAAAAAAAAGTATATGGCGCCAATGTTTTTGTTCAATGGTTTTTTTTTTGTTTATTTATTATTATTTTTTATTATCTGTGTAATTATATAAAGGGCTAAGTAAAATAAAATATCAGAAACTAATATAAAGCAGTCCGATTATCCGAATATTCGATTATTCGTGTTTTTCGTAGTAAATTCATTTATAGATTTATGATTTCTTAATATCGTATTATCTAAACGACGTATTTAAAACCCTTTACATAATTACAAATATTAAAATTACAAATATTAATTACATATTGATCCGTTTAACTTTGAAATCGATTATCCGGATTTTTTATTATACCCATGGTTTTATTTGAAGTACTTACATTTATAAAATGTGTGTCCTCGCAAATAATAAAAATAAACTTATATTCACGAAAACATTGGCTAATTTAATTCAAACTTTCTCAATATATTCGTATAAAGCCACGACAAATATTATGGATTCGAATATCGTTTTTACAAAAGCCATCCATTCGTATTTGTCCAATATGTGTTTTTAATTAACAACTGATATCGACCTCTCGTTTCCATTGCACGTACACTGGATATTCCATGGCTCCACGTGTATAGAAGGAAAATGTCAACAAACAGCAAAAATTATTACGTCCTTATTATGTTTTATTTGCTCTTCTAATACAGTTAATTATTTGTTACAGTATGTATATGCATTTATTATTATATATATGTATATATATTACATAATATATGTGTATTAATCTAATTATTTATTTTATCAACTGAGTGAGTTTACAGTTTCCCAATACACTCACCCAAGAAAGCATTAGTATAGTAACACATGTTTAATTAAATAGAATTATATTAATTAGATTTAAATCACAACATAACAATAATAGAAATAACATCTATATCTCTGAACACAAACAGTCTGTGGTCATCAGACGAAACTCCAGCAAGTTAGAGGTAAACACGTCTAATTGCGGATATCGGCTCAAAACATCATTGAGTAGTTTCAATGCAGGAGAGAGAGGAGCTTACTTAGCCAACTCTGTTCTTCTTAAAGGAATATCAAATAAGTGCCGTCTACGTGCTCGCACGTAGTTACTGGGTGCTTCTATTATATCTTTATAACATATGAACATATTAAGTATTAGTTTATATTTCCTTAACTCATGAATGCACCACCTACCTATTTCTCTATTTGCTCAATGGTTGACTGGTAAAGAACACTGTCCGGTATTAAGTCCGTTAAATGTACATAGAATTTCATTGTCCATTAAAGTTTAAATAAATAACCGTGAAATCCCGGTATAGAATAGGCCCCTTTTT